ATGATGACTTCCCAGGATAAGAAATCCAACCTAGACGATTCTATGATTCTGTGATGACTTCCCAGGATGAGAAAAGGTGATTTTTGCAGGGATGCTGCTAAGATGGCTCCGAACAAAACCTCCCTGATCCCAGAATCACTTTTCTGCCGTGCAGTGTGCTGGCACACCTTGATACTGAAGCTAGAAGGTCTCTCCAGGGCAAGAGACTCAGCGTTATGGTCCCCATCACTCTTACCACTTCAGTGAGGATAATGAACCTGAGGCTGAACTCAAGGAAGAGTCTGTCGGTCCTTCCCTTGTACAAGTGATATCCAGTGGGCACGAGAGAGCTGAGCATGGAGTTATACTTTGCTGAACCAGAAAAAAGTCTGGGAAGGGGACTGGTGGGGGAAACAGCTTAATATAATACAGGCGGCCAAACCTGTGAAGTGTCAGAAAGCAGCTGAGGGAACCAGGAAATAATAACAGCAAATTGAATGCTCTCCAGGTTGCTGGAAGTAGTCCCTCTCAGCTGACATCTGGGATTGCTTTTGGGAAGCTGAGCTGCAGACCGGCTCCTAGCTTTGCCCTGCCCTCTCCCATGCCAGGTATTCGAGGGGCACTTGGGGGATGTTCTTTACACCAGGGATGTCACCATTTCCTCAGAGGAGGAGGTCCTGGAAGGAGGGATGGATTGAGATGCAGGAAATGGACATCACCTCTCGTGGACAGTAAAGGCAAGAAAGCTTTGAAATTGTCTCTTTTCTCTAGCTTGGGGGTGGGAGAATCCAGCATAGATAGAAAAAAACCAAACAATTATTTCAGTGAGGTGAAGGCAAGATGGCTCCTGCTTGCTTTGCAGATAACTGGTTGACCTTGAACCTCCAGCTTGGCCTATCTGGGAGGTGAACAGAGTCATTTCAGAGGCTGAAACTGGGAGAAGTGACTGCTGTTTCCTTGTCTCTGTCATGCACTTGCAAACATGGCCAACAGGACCTGAGCTGAGGTCCATCAGGATCTCCAGAGGGCCCCAGGAGGCACCAGACTGACTCCCTTTCCTTTTGCAGACATATCCCCATTAGAGATTTTCCTCTTTGGTCCTTCTCTTGCAGCTCTTGTTGAATCAATAGGTAAATTCTTCACTAAGCAGTAGCAAGCCCACACATGTAATCCCCTTGAAAGCAAACATTTTGAGCTTACGGCTGACAACAGGGAGTTACCACAAGCCTGGAATCTGTTTGTTTGGCTGTGCTAAGTAATTGCAGCCCCATTTAATGCTTGGAAGGGCGTGTTTGTGGGAATAGTTGGGTTTGTGTTGTTTCCCAGTCTTGGCTCCCAGTCTTCCCTCTTGGAAGGCAAGAGGAAACTGTGGTCCTGTACATATCACATATGAGGTTTAGCTACAGGACCTCAGTGTAGGTCCCAGCCATGCCCTACCCTATGGATTCTCACAAATGTGCAATACCCTCCTGTGTCCAATGACGGTAATAATGACTGGGTTCATTGGTACTGGGCAAAACCAGGCTGCAGAGACCCTAATTTTGGCCCTGAGTTGCTGGATGATTGAGGGCAACTCATTTCACCTCTTCGTGCCTCAGTTTCCTCCCCACCTCTTCCTTTTCCTGTCTTGTCTCACTGGCATAGGAGCTGTTATTTCTACGGGAACACTCTCTCCCTGTTTATGCAATGTCTGGCAGAGACTCAGCCTAAATCTACTCTTGTGTAAATGTTAAGTACAACCACTTAGCCTGGAAGGAAGCTTTTGTGAGATATTTCAGTTTAGGTTTAAAAAAGGTCCCCAAAAATAAAAGCCTTCATAACTCTTTTCTGTAGAGGTGTTTTGGTTTGGTTTTTGGTTTTGGTTTTTTTTGGGGGGTTGGTTTTTTTTGTTTTTTTCCCCTAAATACACTAATATTTCAGAATAGCTGAAATCTCAAGCACTTTGCACACAAAGTTTTCTCACATAAGCTCCTGCAATTCGCCCTGCTGCTCAGAGGGGTCTGATGGGTGACACCTATAAGGGTAACACACTGCTGTGAGTGACTGACCTGCTGCTGGGGCGTGCTGGTAGATGGATGCAGGTCCTTTTTGGGTGACGAGGACTTTTCCTTTGCTGTGTCCCAAGGAGCAGCTGGACGGAGATGTCTCATTTCCATGGCTGGATGTGGTCCATCTGCCGGCGTACATAGTGCTGCTCATCAATAGATACCTAGACATTTGTTGAAGCCTATTGAGAAAGCTGTCAGAGCTTCATTTTATCCCTTTCCCTTTCTGAAGCCCACTGTCTTACTTCATTTCCATGCACTCCATTGAGTTGAGACTTGCGGATCCAAGTTCAACAAAAAGATGTTGGCTTTCAAAAAGCCTTATGTTGGCAATGTGGTCTGCAGATCCCACCAAGCCTGTCAGCTGCCTCATTCCTCGGTGGGTGACAGAGGCTTAGCCCTTCCAAGCGTGGCAGAGGCTGCACCAGCTCCAGACACACAACCCTGACTCTGTTTTCCTCTCTGGTGAGTGAACAGTGGCACAGCACTGGCTGGGAGAAAGGGAATGGTGGAAAACACTGGGAGATACAGAGGCAGAGGAGGCTGGTAAGGTTGCTGGTGCCACTGTCTAGGTCTTGGGATGAGGAGAAGAGCTTTGTCCCTGCTTTGCGGGGAGATGGAGGCTAGTGGTTATGTGCAGCACTGGCTGCCAGTCTGCTGGGGGAGGTGGGACACAAGGAGGGAGCAGGTACACAGTTCTCACTCCTTTGCCACATCTCACTGCCACAAGAGTGGTGAATTATGAAAGATGGCAGTTTCAGTAGTCCCCACCACTGCATACGCCCCATTTTTCACCTCCAAAGGGACCTGGCTCTGCTTATATCAGCTTGGCTTTTCAGGAGCAGGGTCACTCAAAAGCACCTATGAATCTTTTATCTCCATTTCGCCTTCAGCTGCGGTGTCTCAGGTCAAATTTCCTGTCCTTTGGGGTACATGATGAGGTTGATATGTTAAACCATGCAGACCTGTGTCACAGCAGTGCAAACCCAGCCCAGACTCTGGCCTCCTTCATTAAAGATTAACTCTTTGCAACAGCTGTTCAAAAGACAGTATCATAAGATAATAACCATGAGATAAGGGGACCACAATGCCTGGGGGGAAGACGTGCGAAAGGGAAAATGGATTTTCCCTTCTTGCTTTAAGCAAAGGTATCTAGAAACTGGAGCATCCATCAGCTGCTCCTTCTTACCACCTGTGGGAGGAGAGCAGGAATAGGAGGCAGGGGAAGGAGGGAGGCTGCATTTCTCACTGCCAGGGGAACATCTTCAGCTGTGAACATAGATGCAGAGGACAAGAGACTACACCTGGCAGCAGATCTGCCCACAGGCAGTTGACCATTCCCTCTCCCTTGGAGAGACGTTCTTCTGCCTCCATCCAAGGATATAGATGCTCAGGACAGATTATTTCTCCCCACTTGCATGGCCAACCACAAGTCCTGAAAGTAGGGCTTGCCCCAGCAGCCTCAGGCCTGGCATGACATCTTGGGAACAAAGAAGCAAGTGGGTTGGGGTGTTTGCTTGTCTACCTAAGACTACCTATGACTCTAGTGGCTGAGATTGTAAAGGGTTTTTTTTGTGTGTGTATGGTTGGACTCAGTGATCTCAGAGGTCCTTTTCAACCATGACAATTCTGTGATTCTTCCAGGTTTGAAACCCAACGTGATGATTGATAGTCTAATGGCCAAGGAGTTAGAGGCTCCCAGTGAGGACTTTCAAGAGCCATAGGATATGGTTCCTTTAATGGCATCCCTGAATTAATGACCTTATAGATCATCTTCAAAATGCACAGCTGATGACACCCCAAAGGCAGATGGAAAGGAATAACCTGGCTGGATCCCACCTCTCCAAAAATATTTCGAACTACCCAATAAATGGGTTTTTGTGTGGGAGTTAAATAAAGGGGGTGGGGGGGAGGAGGGAGGAAGGAAGGGAGGAAGGAAGGCATGGAGGGAGGGAGGGAGTGGATTGGTGGAAGAAAGCTCTACACAGTCATTTGTTGACATAAACAGGCTGGTCCCCAAGCCTTTGCCCTCTCTGGCTTCACACATAGCTGGGGTCTGCTCAGTTGGGATCCACTTCCCACCGTGCTTCACCAGCCCAGCCCATGGGCATGTAGTCAAGCCCAAAATGCCAATGTGTGCTAACTCTCTGGAGCACCAAGGAAACTCTACAGCAGGTACTGTGAATGGTGAGGGTCTGTGATTCTTCCACGTTTGAAACCCAATGTGATTGGCCAAGTCTAATGGCCAAGGAGTTAGAGGTTCCCAGTGAGGACTTTGAAGAGCCATAGGATATGGTTCCTTTAATGGCATCCCTGAATTCATGACCTTGTTGATCATCTTCAAAATGCACAGCTGATGACACCCCAAAGGCAGATGGAAAGGAATAACCTGGCTGGATCCCACCTCTCCAAAAATATTTCGAACTACCCAATAAATGGGTTTTTGTGTGGGAGTTAAATAAAGGGGGTGGGGGGGAGGAGGGAGGGAGGAAGGGAGGAAGGAAGGCATGGAGGGAGGGAGGGAGTGGATTGGTGGAAGAAAGCTCTACACAGTCATTTGTTGACATAAACAGGCTGGTCCCCAAGCCTTTGCCCTCTCTGGCTTCACACATAGCTGGGGTCTGCTCAGTTGGGATCCACTTCCCACCGTGCTTCACCAGCCCAGCCCATGGGCATGTAGTCAAGCCCAAAATGCCAATGTGTGCTAACTCTCTGGAGCACCAAGGAAACTCTACAGCAGGTACTGTGAATGGTGAGGGAGGCTGAACTTGGTAGAAGGCTCCTATGGTGTATGTGGACTTGCTTTAAACACTTACATGGTCTCCAGTTTCATGCTTCCCCTTCACTTGAATTCTCTCTCTCTGGCTCCATTTGGCCACAGGAAGCAGCAATCACAGCCTGGGGCATTTTTATTTCTTTATTTTTTTTTAATAAACTTTATTCTATATTACAAATAGGTTTTTTTTCTTTTTTGTTCTGGACTGCAAAATAGGAATGCCTTATATTTACATACACAGGTATACAATTAATTATAACAAAGGTACAGAAGCTTTGCCTTTACCAAGTAACAACGGGATTCCAATTTAAATAGTATAGATTTTATTTAATTTTTAACTAGGATCAATTCAAAAGAAAATCAAACCAACAACAACAACAACCTAAGAAAAAGGATCCCAACCTCCTTTCTAATGCTGTCTTGACATCTCTTTGAGGCTGTTAGTAACACTGTAGTGAAAGGATATGTCTTTACATTGATTTTTGTATTTAAGATGGAAGCTTTAGCAAAACGGAGAATGAGAGTTCTGGGCTCATGTGTATGTCCAAGACACAGGGTCAGACACTAGGAAGGGCCTGTCTTGTAACGTTAAATAATCCAGTTGCCTCTCATCTTGATTCTTTAGGGAAAACACTGGGAGCATTTAGTTAGCACCTAATCTTTCTGCTTCCTTACCCCACTCTGGGCTGGAAAGCGGGTTTTCTCCAGGGACTGGAGAAAGAGCAGCACAGAAATTTCAAAAAAACACCAAGTTTCTCTTAAGATACTTCAGAAAGGACTGCAAGCTTGGACATGTGCCTTGATTTCTCCAACTGGCTCTTGTGCCTCAGTCTATCTGAAAGCAAAGAGCAACTTCTACTGGGATATGCTGCCCTCAGAGTCAAGGAGCTATGCAAGACCACACCAGCAAGAGAAGGGAATGCTGAAAGAGCCCAAATGTCCTGGTTTTCCCCATTTTCCACACCCAGGTTCGCTTTACTCAGCTTCCCTGCACATTGCTCTCTGCTGCGAGTGTCTTTGAGGTGATCTGTTTCCAAGCAGAAAGAATTTCTTGAGGTAAACTCTCCATTTTTAGAACAGAAGATTAACACCAAAAAAAAAAAGCGCCAATGAACAAACAACAACAACGACAACAACAGAAATCACACACGTGACAGGTTGATTAGACTAAGCAGCTTTATATCCTCGCTGGGGTTTTTTTGGTGGTTTTATTTTTTCCAAGTGTAAATCTTGGGGTTTTTTTTCTTCTTCTTTTTTCTTTTGACATCCTTCTACAAATTAATTTGATGCTGTAAGCCTGTGTCCCCTTAGGTGCTTCTCTAACAGTGCAGTGAACTGAGCCATCCCAAATAAAACGTGGTTGACAAACTCTGCTTTCAAAGTATTCTCTGCAAAATGTTTCCCTGTAAGACAATTAAACTTTTTTGGAGGAAGGGGCCTTGCACAATGGCAGAGGTGAGGGAAAACTGCAGGACTCCGTGGACCTAACAATACTCTGAAATGGGAAGAGTTTTGGGTACAAAGCAGGAAAAGTCAGGCTGTGAATGGCCAGGAGCCTGAGGTTAACTCCATGATGCTGAGGTTCACTTCACCAGTTGCCTGCTCTACAGCATACCAAGTTTGGATGGCAAGACCTAGGACATCCCAAGACCTCCTCTGGACTTGACAAAATGTGGAAGGAATGTGTAATCTTTGTGTTGGCTGACTCAACCATGAGAGTAGCCACTGGACTCTTAACACTCTGTCAGTTCTCATAGAATCATAGAATGGTTTGGGTTGGAAAGGACCTTAAAGATCATCAAGTTCCAACGCCCCTGCCATGGGCAGGGACACCTCCCACCAGATCAGGTATTTCAATAGCACTATTAAAAATAACAATGACAATTATGTGATTTACTTGGTGTTTCTCCCTTCATAGTAAATACCTCCCTGAGGGCTAATGCGCAAGATCTGGAAACTTTGGTAATCGCTTTTCAATTCAAGCAAATACCAACCAAAATTCCGCTTGTAAATCTTTTTCATGTCGTATCAATTTTTTATGGTCTCCAGTGCTGAAGAGTTATGAGAAGACTACTACAGTGGTAAAACTACAGCTGAGAAAATTGGCATAGCCCTCTCACCTCACGGAGCAAGGCTGGTGTATTCTGGGTTGGACAAAGCCTTCAGATATGTTCAAGACAGAATGAAGAGCGGGAAGAGAAGGATTGGGGCATGTTGGGAGAGCAAGGTGTCCTTGGGTGGCTGCATTTCTCCTTTTCAGTGGTTCTCTTGTGTTATCTGTTCAAGTTCTAACAATCTCTCACACCTTCTTTCAGAGAGCACACAGCTTTTCCTACAACAGTGTTTACTGGGAGGCTCAGTGTGCAAAAGCACAGATGTCTCAGATCACTGTGACACTGATAGGTGAGCTCACACTCACAGGGAGGACACGAGGGTGTTTGCAGAGGGACCTGCCACCTTCTGCTCCTCTGAGCCAGGAGCGAAGTCCCAGAGCAAACTCTGCAGTGAAGAAATAATCTTAGCTCTCTCAGCAAGACCACAGAGAGTTTTCAGGAGTTCCCTTTCCCCATTTCTGATGGTGCTGTGTCAGCATTCATTGTCTGGATTGCGGTGTTTGAGAAATACCCATAAAAATCAGCCTATTATCTGGCATATTCTAGGTATTAAGAGCCTGTCTTCTATTGACTTCTAGGGACTTTGGCTGCAGTTCTCTCTGTGTGGCTTGAAAACTAGTGTGGAATACCACCTATTGGGCATTTTTGGTCAAGTGTGGAAAGGGAGGTGGGGGAAAAGAAGTCAAAGCAAGAGGAAAAGAACGCATCCATGTTGTAGTAGGGCTCATTCTTCTGCTTGTGTCTTTGTTTTAAGTTGTATTTTACATGCACTTAAAAAATAGTTAGCTCAACAGGTGAGGCTGGGAAGAAAGATGCCAAGACCTCTCATAGACTGGGGGATGCTGGGACAGTGGTTGGAAATGGGGAGGGCACTGAAGGGGACAGGGGAGGAAGCCCACGCATTTACATCACAATTCTGGCACATTTTGCAAGCGAAAACTGAAACACCAAATAAAGACAAACAAAAAGAAAAACAAGGAGGAGATGAAAGAAAAGCAAAAATACCGTTTTTCTTTCAAATCCTGGGGATGGGGGAAAGAAGAGTGTGGAGAGAAAACGGAAATACCTAAATGGGAACTAGGGAAGGGTTAAGACACCAATCTCATGGCTCTTCCCATTTCCCCTAAGCGTTTCATTCTCAGTGTCTCTGAGGTGTTCAAGTTTTTCTTGAAAAATATATATATACACATTACAGATGAAAAACTCCGTACCAGCAAGAAGAAATAAAATAATAACAATGGAAAACAACCATAATAAAACAAAAACACAGCCCTGAAAACATCAAAAAGAAACAGGGTGAGTCTCAGATTTCCCCTGTGGTGTTCCTCTGTCTTGAGTAACAGTTGCAGGATCACACCAGTTCACTTTGATACCTTTTTTTTTGTTTGTTTGTTTAAACAGCTTCTTCTTCCTTTCATGTGCGCATGTCCAGGCTGTATAGCCCATCACTCATAACCACTTCCCTCCAAGCCAGCTATTTGTCCTTAGACTCCTACCATCCAGCTGTGAGTACAAGGCATGACAATAGGGTCCATATTTATTTTTTGTGGCACTTTGTTTGTCAAAACCTTTGGTTTCTTCCTTTTTTTTTTTTTTTTTTTTTTTTAAATTTTCCTTTTTTTTACGTACTTATAAAAAATATTGTGTTTGTGTTGTTGTTGTAATTTTCTTAACCGCTGGCTCTGGTGGGACTTCCACCCCACTTTCACAGCCATAATCAATGGGTCTGGAACATGCGCCGACATTATAAATGGATCAACAAAATCATGGCAGGACCAACCAAACCCAACTCATCCCTAATGCGCAGGCCTCTTAAAGATGCTGAGATGTCCATAAGGTGCATGATGAGTCCATCAGCTCAGCAATCAAACGGAAAGCAAGCAAAATTAATCAAAGGAAGTAACACACACACACACGCACACACAGATACGCACACGCGCGCACACACACGCGCACAAAATAATAATAATAATAATTATAATCAAGAGAGAAGTGTCTGGGGTTTTAAAACCAAGACGTGTCCCTAAGTTTGCTTGAATCTTGCGATGTTCTGCCCACACACACATCCAGTTTGGGACTGTTTTTTCTTTTAATGGGATTAGAAAGACTTGCCTACATGTGTATCTGCTTGGCTGAACGAAACCTGCCTGCTGACTGACTCCTGTTTGCACCACATCTCCCATGACATGCACTCGTGATCTGTTGCTCTGAAGAGGTTCTGGTTTGCTAGCAAGAGGCATGAATAAAATCAAAAAGCACTCATTCCGCCATCAATTTATAAACCCTGTCTTTACCCCTTCCTTCCTCCAGGTGCAAAGTGGATCCAGGCTGTAGCTCTTGAGGATGGTGTGAGATGGATGTGGGCTGATTCTCCGTGACATCAGGACACTCCCCCATCTTCTAGTGAGCACTGTTCATCTCTTGTGAGATGAATGCAGGCCCAGCTCTTGCCTCCGTGGTGTACAAGATGCAAGGTCTGCCTGAGGGTCTCCCACTATGCTGAACCATGGTGTTTTCCAGGCTGGCAGCTGTATGGAAAAGATTAGCCAAATTCAGAAAAGACACACGAGGCCAATCCCCTTTGGTTGGCCATGAAACAGGTTGAGATGTTGTTCTGGAGGAGTTGAGCAGAGGGAAGGATGGAGCAATCATCCACAATTGTCCTGTGGTGACAGTGATCTCTGAAGGGATCGGAAGTGTAAAAAGAGAGCAAATTCTTCCCAGGAAGCAACTGTGTCTTCAGTAAGGCCTGTTTGTTCCAGAAATGGAGAAGAGGAAAGACCAGGAGTTGGCACTAAAAGGCAGATGAGCTTACAGTGGTTCAGAGACCTCCAGAAGACATGCAGTTCAGCTGGGAGTATCTAGATAGAAGAATATTTTGCAGCGTTTCATTTGGATTTCCTCCAAGATTTCCTTCCAAAATGTGTGGTGACATTTCCTCTTAGGAGTGGCTTTGAAGGAAGCTTCTACCATCAGTCCTAGCCCTTCAGTATCCTTCTGATATTCCACCACGAGAAAACAACGGCTTTGTTCCAGTTGAGGAAACAAAATGGAAAGAACTAACAGCTTTAAGGAAAACACTTCTGATTGGTTTTTGAGGCCGAGCACCTTGCCTGGAACAAAATAAGACTTCTGGTTCTTGCTTTCCAAGCTGAGGTGGGAACAAGGGAAATGCTGCAGCGTCCATTGCCAGAAGGAACAGAATGACCACCGACGGGATGCCACTTTTGCCGCAGTGCTATGACCAACAGGACACAATGGGAAAGACGGAGGGGACACAGGTCTCTTTGAAAAATAAGAATAACCATATGAAACACACGGGCAGGGGAGCGTCGGTCTCCTCCTCCCCTCTTGACCCTTCCGCTGTCCCAGGAGAGCAGCTACCCCGCTGTTTGCCCAGGCAGATAAGAGCCACAGTGGTCCCACTCTGGACGGAGCTGTGGCATTCTTCAGGGAGCCTTGGGGTTCCTGTCCCAGTGGGTCACTATCAAGAGATAGAGTTGCAATGGCTCTGCAGGAGAGGATCTTGACTTGCTCCTGACCTCCAGCATCCCTGCAGGCAGGCTGCCTTCCCCTTGGGGAAACTTTTAGTAATACTGAGTTCATTTCCATGTCCACTCCAGAGGCTACAGCCCATGGAGGGCAGTTAAAGCAGCATGACAGAAGTTACCTCCCAATTCCCCATCTGCAGAGTGACTATGTGATGTCGGGGGAGGGTTTGGGGGGGAGGGTAGGGTGTATGTAATAGTTTGTTTTTTTTTTTTCTCTAGGGCAAAGGCAGAGGGGAAGCTGTGAAAAGGAGAGCTTCACCCAATCATCTTCGTATCCCCAGAGCCAAGATTCCTCCACAGTCTTTTCTTTTAAACCCTGGGGCTTCGTCGCTTTGTCCATAGATTTTGAAAGAGAAAGAAATGAGAGAGAAAGAGAGAGGAGCGTTGTTCAGGTGACTCTGCTTACAGCCCATCAAAACTTGCACTTGGTAAAGATGATGATCTTGAGTGAGGCACGACTTGGTTTATCCCTTCCAGGGTGTCCCTGGCAGGACAGTTCTCAGCTGTCTATGCTCATGAGGGTTATGACTTGTTCAAGTTTGTAGGCAAGTTTCTGTTTCCCAGCCTGGTCATCTTGATCAAGGGCTCCGAGAATCTGGAAAAGGAGAGAGAAAAAAGTGATTGGGATTTTAACTTTTTTTTGCCCCAAAGGACTGAGTCCAGCACCTTACATCAGCAGATGAAGGTTAGCTTTCTCTAAGCTAGGTCCCAGGCTTAGTTTAGATTATGCAAAGCAGGTCACTCAGCCAGCAGGGAACTAGGCAGGCAGTTTGGGGTAGATTTGACTAAATGCAGACCTCTAGATTGCAACCGATTAAGTGAATTCTTCTCTTGGAGATCAGTTATTTGGCAGCTTTATTCATCACCTTGCCATGCCACTTGAGATGCCCTAAGGTATTTAACGTGGTCTTCAACACACAGAACCTTGCTGGTCACCTTTAAGTTCTGTGTCATGCTTGCTGGACCATTCTTGGGTGTGTTAGGGAATCTGAAATGGCACTGGGCACATATGCTTGAACAACTTTTGGTCACATGTGGTGCAGAACTGACGTGGAGCTCCTCTGTAGCAAGCTAACATCTGAGCATGGACTACTGCAAGCCAGCTACATCTGACTGAGCAATAATAAGAGACAACAATAACAGGGATCCAGATGGAAGAGTACCAAGGAGATCAATAATCCCAGACCCTCCCATTCCAGACCCCAGGCCTTGCTTTTCATTCCTTAAATCCCTCATCCCCCTAGCCAGGATGAAGATCTGGGACCTGTGGAATAGGTGGGCTCTCCCATTGGTCTGCAGAACTGCTCTTCCCCTCTCTAAGGCTCTTACCTCCTCACTGTACTTGCCAACGTAGGAGTATATCTCTGAGAGCGCGCTCATAGTGTTGAACTCATTCATATGCATGCGAGACTGCTCAGCCAAGTATGCATTCATGTCCTGGTCACTGATTGCTGGCATTTTGGCGATGTCTGAATAGTACCTGAGAGAGAGAAATACAGGTGTTTCTCGAGGGGAGAGAGTAAGGAGTCAAGAAATGAAACCCACCAACAATATGGAGAAAGAAAACACTTAGCGCTCTTGGAGTCTTCTGGTGCACCAATGATATACCTGGTCATACTCTTCTTTTACAGCAAAGGAGATGATTTAGCCAAAATTGGAAATTACTGAAGCACTATTCCTGAATATCAGACATGTGCTGTATTCACTCAACCCTATTCTGAGACCAAAGTCCCAAAGAACAACCTGTAAACTTTCTCCATGCCATCAAAGAACTAGGCAGTACCTATTGATACTGGATTCCTTTGTCAAGCCTTGAGGGGCGTTGAGTCCCACAGAGAAGTCCCACTGACCTCGCTGCCCGCTGATAGCTCAGTATTTTGATCCCATAGACTAAAAACCCCCATGCATGCTTGCTTGCACCAGTCACGCTAGAACGTCTGCATCCATTGCTAACATCATCCACCTCCCACACTGAATCCAGTCTATCCCAGGAACTCCTCTGCTGATCAGCATCTCCCTATAGCCCCAAATTTTAAGTGAGTCTGACGTCACATTTTATGGCAATAGGCTTCAACACCCTCATCTCATATAATCATCTTCTCAGGAACTCCTCTGCTGATCAGCATCTCCCCATAGCCCCAAATTTTAAGTGAGTCTGATGTCACATTTTATGGCAATAGGCTTCATCACCCTCATCTCATACAATCATAGAATGGTTTGTGTTGGAAGGGACCTTAAAGATCACCTAGTTCCACCCCCCTGCCCTGGGCAGGGACACATCCCACCAGACCAGGTTGCTCAAAGCCCCATCCAGCCTGGCCTTGAACCCCTCCAGGGATGGGGCAGCCACAGCTTCTCTGGGCAACCTGGGCCAGGCTCTCACCACCCTCACAGTAAAGAATTTCTTCCTGGTATCTCATCTAAATCCCCTCTCTTTCAGTTTAAAACTATTAGTCCCCATTCTATTGCTACGCTCCTTAATAAAGAGTCCCTCCCCATGTTTCTATAGGCCCCCTTTAAGTACCAGAAGGCTGCTATGAGGTCATTTCCACTCTGATTTCTTCCTGGTATCTCATCTAAATCTCCTCTCTTTCAGTTTAAAACTGTTAGTCCCCATCCTATTATTACACTCCTTAATAAAGAGTCCTTCCCCATGTCTCCTATAGGCCCCCTCTAAGTACCAGAAGGCTGCTATGAGGTCATCTCCACTCTAACTGGGGGAAATTTGCTTCCCATAGGAGTCAACATCATTCCCCTTGAGAGCAAGAAGAGTGGGGCTTCATCTGTAGGATATGGAGCCCCCAAACCATTGCCCATCGGGCTCCACCAGCAGAGCAATGTCTCTTTAAGGAAGTTGCTATTTTCAATGTCCTTCGTCCCCCTGGGTAAGGCAGGTCTTGGAGGACAAGGTTTGCGGATGGTAATCAGTCACTGTCACTCGCAGCTGTGCTCTGCTGTCAACTGGTTAATTAGACGCCATCATTTACATTTTTAATTTCTGCAATTTTAAAAAAAAAAAAAAAAAAAAAAAAAAAAAAAAAAAAAAAGCCCATAGCTGCAGCAATCCACAATTTTATAATTAGGAGGCAGAGGGGACGGGGAGCCAAAAGAGCTGACAGGTGTCCTGTAAACAGCGTTGAGACACCTGCTGAGATGGAGGCTGTTTTCCACTGCAGAGAAATTGGACAGTGAAGTGCTGTATGATAAGGATCCTTCAGACAGACAAGTGGGAAAATACTCTCTATGACAGCGGGGGGGACGAGCAGCTGCTGAAGTCTCCTGTGAAAGACAGCACGGTGCAAGAGCTGGGGAGGAAACCCCTCCACAACAGAAGGCTCCAGTTTTGCTCAGTCTGGTTTTGTGCCCCACGCTCCCATCCTGATTTATTGCAACGGGTTTTTCTCAGTTGCTATCCTGGTTTTGCGGAGAGGGATTGATGTAACCCTTGGGAGAGAAAGGAATTGGAGGTAGAGGTCCTTCTCCTGGCTTTCTGCATAGTCTTCCAGCCTGACTGCTTCCAGAGCTAGACTCTGGCTTATCATAAAAACATATGCAAAACTCATTAACTTTACTGCAACTTCCAGTATGCACAACATTAAGCTCCCTGGAGTCATAACATCTTGTCTTCTGGGCTCAGGACCAGCCAAAAATCATAGTCTAACTCAGTCCCATGGACTAAATATTGTCCACTCCCACTACTCCAGTGATGAGTGGCTCTGATTTTGCTTTATGCTCCGCCTAATCTTCAACCTCCAAGAGGACCTGAACAGTTGTCTGTAAGGGAAGGAGCCACCTCAAAACTTCTTGAGAACCTGTCCTGCAGAACCACCTCCAGAAGAACATGGTGAGCAGGATGAATAAATATTTCCAGACCTTTGCCACACCCAGAAAAACTCAAACCAGTCTCAGCATCAGCAGCTGGACAAAATCAGACATGTGCTACAGGGACTTCTGACAAGAGAAAGTATCAGGAACTGGTGGCATCCATGACAGTGTTGTTGTACACTCCTCAGAGACAAAGGACATTGCTGAGAAACACGGAATCTCATGGCCAAAAAATGAGGTGTTCCTTGGCATCCAAAGAAAACTAAATTCATGGGCAACCAGCACGGTTCATAGACTTGTGAGGAAAAACAGCCTGCAATGCAGTGAAATGCATTGATTTATGGCACCTAAGAGGAGCCCATGGAGAAGATCCCAGCTTCTTATGAATATTGCAGAGGCACCCTCCTGCTAGGCGAAATGAAAAGAGAAGGGGATTACATCACAGCAAAAATAGATGAGGCTGGTGGAGGAAAGCAGAGGTACTGGGTTGTATTTGCCAGTCCGGCTCTGACAACCAACTGAAATGATCCTTTCCCTCTCTGGTTCAGCTGCTCACCAAACGGTGGCAGGAGAGTGGGTGCAGGGATGGGGTGCTCCTAAAAAGTGAGACACAGACACACGTATCGTCTGCTTCTCCGAGTTTCTCCTGTCTCCCTTCCACCTGTTAGCAATGCTCTCCTGAGTGTGTGACTCAGAATCACAGAATCTTCTAGGTTGGAAGGGACCTTAAAGATCATCTTGTCCAACCGTCAACCTAACTGACAAAAATAGACACCCACACAACAAACAAGAAGCATCACCATCACTAAACCATACCTCCCAGCACTACATCAACCTGTCTTTTGAACACCTCACAAGGGTCTGAAAGCTCTCTGGTCCCTTTCCAGCCCTGCAGAGATATCTTCCCAGCAGCATAACACTCCCGTGAACAATGAAAAACCACACACAATGCTCCTTAGAGAGAAGGACAGGGTGCAAGAATCTGAGTTTCAGGGCTTGGAGGTCTCTCCAGCCATGACAGATTCTCAAACTGTGATCTCAGCATGCTGGGTTCATGGGCCATCACCCACAGCCATACCAAAGTGTTCCTGTCTCCCTCGGACTCAATTCCCCAGCTATCATACACCTGAGCAGTTATTACCCATTAAGACTGCAAACCAAGACACTGTGGGATCGTGTTTTGCAGGAAAAAATAAAAGAAAAAGAAGGAAAAAAAAAAATAATGCGTGTATCAATAGTCAAACCCAGCTGCTAGTACACAGAGAAGACATATAATGTCCTTCCATCAGAGCTCTGCCATGGCCAAATGACTTATTTATTCAGAAGTGTTTCTAATGAAGCCATCATCGCGCTATCTAAAGAAATTATGAATGTGTATATTAAAGCATCCTAGCAGGAAGATGAAAACATCCCCGCTGAGTCTTTATTCACCTTCTATATGAGACGAGATCCTCAGAGGTACTTAAGGCCTCTCTGCCATTTGCATACCCCTCATGTCTTCAAAACCGCTGTGAAGCTGTCACCGAACCCCAGAGGTCCTTACGTTGTCACTGCCAGCATTTGCAAAGGCTGCCTGAGTGTGTCTTCCCCTCATCCCTGCAGCTGACAGCTCTCACTTACACCCAAGCCGAGCTGTGAGGCCAGTGCAGAAGGAACGGGATGCTCTTCCACCACCCTGCCTCCTGGGAGCACCCCAAAGCTGAAGGTCACCAGGTCTCACCTGGGACATGGGCAGATCATTGACTCACACTTCCACAGCCAGATACCCTCTGAATGAGGAATAATAGTAGAAAAGTAGAAAATCATAGAATCGCCTAGGTTGGAAGGGACCTTTCAGATCATCTAATCCAACCATCAATCTAACACTGACCCGGACCATCACTAAACCATGTCCCTCAGCACCACGTCTACCCGGCTTGTAAATACCACCAGGGATGGTGACTCCACCACTTCCCTGGGCCGCCTGTTCCAACATTTGATAACTCTTTCAGTGTAAAAATGTTTCCTAATACTAAAAGTAGAAAATCATAGAATCGCCTACGTTGGAAGGGACCTTTCAGATCATCTAATCCAACCATCAATCTAACACTGACCAGGACCATCACTAAACCATGTCCCTCAGCACCACGTCTACCCGTCTTTTAAATACCACCAGGGATGGTGACTCCACCACTTCCCTGGGCCGCCTGTTCCAACATTTGATAACTCTTTCAGTGTAAAAATGTTTCCTAATACTAAATCTAAACCTCCTCTGGTACAACTTGAGGCCATTTCCTCTTGTCCTATCACCTGTTCCTTGGGAGAAGAGATCAACCCCCGCCTGGCTACACCCTTCTTACAGGGAGTTGTAGAGAGCGAGAAGGTCTCCCCTCAGCCTCCTTTCCTCCAGGCTGAACCCCCCCAGCTCCCTCAGCCCCTCCTCACAAGACTCGTGCTCCAGACTCATCATCAGCTTCGCTGCCCTTCTCTGGACATGCTCCAGCACCCCAATGTCTTTCTTGTCATGAGGGGCCCAAAACTGGATACAACACTCGATGAGGGGCCCAAAACTGGACACAACACTCGAATCATCTAGTTTCAACCCCCTTCCATGGGCAGGGACACCTCCCACTAGACCAGAGTGCTCAAAGCCCCATTCACCCTGGCCTTGAACAC